AGACATGTCATATGAGTTAGTTTCTAATTTATAATGTTGTATGTATCAGGGATGATACGTCTTGATCGTCAGTAGTGCAGCGAGCTCCAGAGTGGGTCCCTGATATAGCGGCGCCCGCCTGTATGAGATGCTCCTCACACTTCACGGCCTTCAGGCGCAGGCATCACTGTAGGAACTGTGGTGAGTATCCCTCTATGTGTGTGTGAGTATGTATGTGTGTGTGTGTACGAGTTCAGTAGGCGTCTATTTGCGCCAAGTAGCAACTATGTTCATAATAGATATGTAAGTTGATGTATTAGTGCACATGTAAATGCATGCATTGGAGGCCATTTGATTGTGTTTGTATGTAAATGCGTGCTTGAATGTGTGTGTATAAGCATGTTCGTGTCTTTATTTTAGTGTATTTGTGTAAAACTGCTTTCAAGAGTATTTATGTGTGCGTGACTAGATACATTTGTGTGTGTATGTGTGTGAGTTTAATATTTTTTTTAATTACTAATATAAAATAATTAATATTGCGACATGTGTTTCTATCAGGTAAAGTCTTCTGTGCTTCGTGCAGCTCAAATTCAATACCATTACCGAGATTTGGTCAGTTGAAGCCGGTGCGTGTGTGTGAGGAGTGCTATCAGACCAACTGCGGGAGACAGACGAATCGGTGAAAATGTCATTGGAAAATATACCTTGCGTTATACGAAATAAAGTTGGCTTTTAAAAAATATTTTAACAGATGTAATTCTATTGTGAGATACATAAAATAGAAAGTTTTTAAACTATTTTAATAAATTATAGACTTTATTTCGTTATATTAAGGTTTATTTTCTGAAATACTTTAATCGATCGCTCACAATTTCTAACATCACGTTATTGTTGAGAATTTTGTGTGTTAAATGTTACTGTATAGTTGAGGAAACAATAAAAAATATATTTTCTTAGTTACTTTGAATTGAAAAATGTCCTAACTTTAAAAAGCGGCAGTGTTTGTGAAAACTGTGTATGGACACAGTTTTCAATATACTGAATATTTAAAAATTACATTACATTTAAAAATTCATATATCCAGTATTGCCATGCTAAAACGAGAAATGTCCCTAAAATATAATATTACCTATAATTAATTTGTGATATTTGTATGTTATTCCACAACTAACCCGCCCTAAATGACTATTAAGTACTGAAATGTAAAATTCCATTTTTGACTGATGTTATAAGCGAGTTATTTTTTTTGTTTTGTTTTTGATAGGTAGCTCTCTATACGCTAGATGTCGCTACATTATTTGATATTTTTGTAAATGTCGTAACTAATAAAAATTGACTCAGCAACTATTATATATTCATAAAACATTTAGTATATAAAGTTTATGTCAGATGCAATATATTGTATGCAGAGTTATATATATATTAATAAATAACATTTTTCATGTATAGATATGTTTTGTAATAAAATTTAATTATTTGCAGAACATTTTAAACGATATTATAAAATATGTATATTAATGTTAAGTAGTTATGTTCAAATAGTGTCTATTTTTAAGAGTACGTTGAAATGATGTTTATATTTTTTAAAATAATTAATCAGCGTGGATGTAACAGAAGATTCCATACTTTTATAACATTATTATAGTATGTATAGATATTTTGTAAAGGTTAATTATTAATTTCTACCAATATATATGTTGGCTTTTCCTTTTTGTATGTAATTTCTATGTTTGATGAGACCACAACGTCTAAGTGATATAATGATACTGATATATATTTTAATTGTATAAAATAAATGTCGGTTTTATTATTAGATAAAGTATGTTTTATTTCACTGTTTTTATATTGACTTTGTAGAAAATTCATTAAAATGACAAAATTATAAACATATCTTTTCAGTCACTAAAATTATTCCCCAGACTGATTATCCGATTTGATTAGTAAGAAAAATATTTCAATTATTTTGTAGTCTATACACACGTTATGTGTGCAAAACTGTGCGCTGTAATTGCACAAAGCAAGTTTGCTCACACTGTATTAGGTCTATAGTAATGTCCATCTTCTTGAACATAAACAGTTCTGATTTTTAATTTGCTTAAAAAATTCTATTTAGATTTGTGTTTTTTAAGTGGTTCCGTTAATTTTTTAGTTTACATAGTGTCTATGTGATTTATGACCTCGTATGAATTGTACCAACAATTATTGTATTTCTTAAACTTTACAAGAATGAAACTAATATTTTGGGGATATACTACGTGACTCTAATAATAATACTTACCTTAGTCATTGGTGGCCTAGTGGCAAGTACCAATGTGGTTTTACCGAGTCATATATGTATATGTACTTTCTAAGAGTATTTATACAGCACTTATTAATGCATTCCCAAAGAGGGTTGATGTCAGGCAGTCATAAAAATAATTAGCCAAAACTATTCACAACATGTAAGGCAGACCCTGGCTAAAGCTGGGAAATTGCCAGGAAGAAGTAGAAGTAGAAGTTTAATAATAATACTTACCTATATACGCAAATTAATTGAAAACAATGTTGTTAAAATTTTTTCACTATTATTAAACAGAATATTGTAAAAATGTATAGATTTTTTCAAATACTTATGAACCTCTTTGGCACCCACTTCAAAGATAACGTGAAATTTAATTCTCCTCAGTAAACTAAGTTTTAACTTCATTTCATAACAAACTTTATCATGTTCAAATTAAAATAATTGTCTAATATAATGACTGCTAGTTCTTATTCGTGATTTGGTCCACTTTTAATTCGGTATTATTTCAAAGAGAAATGAATATGTGTTCTTGGTATAATTTACATAGAAACGTATTGTCAGCGACACCTATCGTGTGTGTCGCGTAAATGTATACTACATGCAACTGGTAAGTAATTTTTCTGGGGGATGTAAGTGTAATATAATAAATGGTCTGACTAATTCTGATGTCCAAGTTCCGTTATTGAATAGTTTTATCAAAATATCTTCAGCATATTTTACGCGAAAAAGCGACAAACACACATCCATACATCTTCACAAACGTTTGCTTTGAGAGTAGGTATGTATAGAATTGTTATTTTATTTTGAAAATACAAAAAACAAATGAATTAAAAGAAATCTTATTTCCAATGGGATGAATAAACGGTACTAATATCATAATATATTGCATAATTAGGGGAATAGGGCGCCACTGCGACACTGTCAACATCGTACTCGTTATAAAAAATTAATTTAAAATTATTTAAGTGCTCCAAAACAAAGTGATACGTTCAAAACATAAAACCAGTGCATTAAATACATCGATCAATATATAAATCACAGTGCATATTCAACAATCTTCTATCAAAAGTGCATAACAACGTTGTATCTAGTGTCATTAGAAAATCGTCAAGATACCAAGACCCATATAATAATTCGAGTTCGAAGTAATAGTGGAACATGTATACGACAGGACTGAAACTTGAACTACATTAAAACAGTGCGTAATCCTAAAGCATCAACTATAACCTCAAAAGTGCTCAATAATCATCATAACAATTCCTTTGTTCTAAATCATCGATTTCTATCAGCGCCATCTATTGCGATTCATCAGAATTTCCTAACCAGGTCCAAATACGACGCGCACTCCGTTATCTCACAGCACTTACACAATTCGATCGCCAATATACAAAGAAGTACTGCCCGTCCTAATAGAGGGCGCTAAGTGTATTGTAAACAGTAAGGGAGGAATTAAAAAATATGTTAATCAGCATGCTGCATGCAGCAAGATATAAAGCAACAAAAACAAGATATGTTAGAAATGAAAAAGGATATTAAGGATACAATAATCAACAGCCTCAGCGAGAAGTTCTATAATTTAGAATCGATAAACGAGCTTTTGGAGAAAAAAAAAGAAGAGCAATCAAATAAAATTAACAGTCTCGATGCAGAATTAGACAGTCTCGATGCAGAAATCTGGTCTTATTTGGCGTAGAAGAGATAGAGAAATCTTACGATGATCTGGAAAAACTGGTAATAAATATAATAAATAAACACATAAAAATTTCATGCGACACTAACAACATAGACACAGTTAGGAGGCTGGGTAAAAAGGGAGTCAAAGTTAGACCGATAGTAATAACACTCAACACCTTAGGTTTTAAAATAAAAATAAAAAAAATAAAACACTACCTTCAAAATACTTCCTATTACTTAAAAGAAGACTACCCAATTGAAGTTCTAATTAAACGTAAAGAGCTACAAATACAACTACAGAAAGAAAAAGATGCAGGAAACACCGCTTTTATAAAATATGATAAAATTGTAGTACTGAACAACAAAAAAACCTCAACAAAAGCAATCAAGCAAAAGAAACCTATCAGAATCCCTAGAGACGCTCCACCCCAACAACCAAAATGCTCACTATTCTAATAAAAATACACTCAAGAAAAATAAAGGAGTATTGACGAACTACATAATACAAAAGCCTAAACTAAACCTCGCTCAGAAAGAACCAGCTCAACGCCAATCGATAACCTCAGACCAAAACACAGTATAGCAATTAAAATCGGGCCCTTTTCCAACCTCTAATCTTCCAGCACGGCCGGTTACCGCGGTAGAGTTCGACCAAAACCCCCCAAGAATACTTATCAAAACTAAGAAGTGTGCGATTACCTGGAACAGGTTCTGGCACCATAAGGAGATATTGAAATGTCAACTTCCACTACCGATCAAGAAAATAGTCATGGATACATGGATACAGAAGTAAGGCAGTCCTTGGGGGAGGCTTTTACCCGAACGGGGTCCATGCATATATTAATTATTGATTAAATATAAAATGATTAATTAATTATCATATCAAATTATGAAAAACAGATTATTAATAATATTAAGTTGGATGAGAGTGTAAAGTGAAAAATTACATACTCGTAGATAGTCATGGTTTTTTGCTGTTTTTAATTTCCTACTCATAACATAACAGTAGAAGTATTCCAGAAAAAGTAGTTGTTGTGAGACGTAACGTTTATGTAAAACTATCAAAATGGGTTTTGAAATCAAGATCAGGGTAGGTTATATATTACAAAATTTTAAAGCTATGAAATAAATATTCGTTCATAAAATTATTTGCGAACTATTATAGAAAACTACTACTAGGTAATAGATCTATCTGTAAATAGATGTAGGCCATTGTATAGAATACAATAAGCCGTAAGAATGAACCTTATATTCCTATCTTTGAATATCATGCAGCCAATTAAGATCATTTGAAATTCACTCAAACGTTCGTTGTAAAGGATTGAAGAATTGAACTTTTGTAGTCTATTCATGGCTGAGATATTGAATTCAAATTCGTATGTATTGATGATTTTTATTTTTATGCTAAACAAGAACGACGGCTCTAAAAGAAACGAGGTCTGCTAGATTTTATTTCATGTTTATGTAGACTTAAAATTAACTTATCTCATATAAACTTTTAATTAAAATCATACAAAATTTAATTTATTGCCGAAACAAGTTTTACATAGGTATAAGACATGAAATAAAAAATAATTATTTATAACTTATAGGTATATTATTTAATTTAAGAGATTTACTTCTTGATAACTATTTTACAATAATTATCACAAGGTCAATGACTTTCTTAAAAAACATATGTTATTTGTATACCTAATTACAATTTTTTTATAGTTAGATGACGAAGACGATTCTTTGACTAGAAGACAAGGAGGAATTTGTCAGGTAATAATATTAATATACAGAAATAAATATTCTTTAATTCCTTACATCAAAATTAGATTATTCTAAGGATGAAGTATATATAATGTCTACAAATTTTTATTTATGATAGTGTTTCCCCAAAAGATTTGTGTATTCGAAAATTCGAAGATAAAATTAAGTGTCTTATTTTTGTATCTAGAACGACCATGGAGTTCCTCTTGTGACGTGGATCAATGAAGAGGAGACAGTTCTGGGAGTGGGCTCTGTGTTCAGAGTTGATAAGGATACGAAATGCATAGGACCTTTCCTTTACACGAGTACAGCCCGAAACAAAGTCTTTATAGAGTGTCTTCTAGAGGAAACTAAGTAATTTGTTACAGATTTATTACAGTCAAATTTTTCCCCTTTTAACGTTTTTTGTACTACGTTATTGAAATTTTCCAAATCTGGAATTAGTTAGACGTCACAGAAGATAGGCGTGAAGTAGCCTTTAATGGATGAGTTTTGTTCTATGAGTGAGAGAGTAGGTAGCCCTTTCCCCTTTTTTTACCTTTTCCTGACATTATTCCCTTATCCCCTTATTTCCTTATTCCCACCCTTTCTTATCCCTAAAAAAACAAAGTTGGCAACGCATTCACCGTGCGGACGACGGGTCCATGGCGTTGCAGGGAGAGGAGCTTCAACAGTGCCTCCAATTTGCGACCCAGGTGTAGTTTTAAGGGTCTCTTATGTAACGCGCGTTAAACGCTCACCTCTACCGTCCAAGCTCCTTTCTCTACCTAAACAACTTAAAACTAACCTGCTAGGGCTGCCTTCGACTCACGTTCCAAATATTAGTTCTGGACAGGCTCAAGTCTTTTAGTAGGTTGTTCAGAAATTTGGGTGTTATACCTCTCAATTTTACTTCTGCAGCGTACAAATTTACGTGGAACCTATTCTTAGTGAGTTCATTCGTTAGTGATACTTCATATATCATATATACGGTTAGAATAAATTAATTTTTAAATACACATGCAGAAGTTCTCAATGTATGTAATACGATTTGCATTGACTAATAAAATTTGACACTGTAAATGATTTTAAACTTGAGATTTAGGACGGTTATTTATTCCAAAATAGATTTGTCACAGACTAAAACTAGCTCAATACAAAAGTCTTAGTTAACCTGTTTAATATTGATGTATTGCGTGACATGTTTTTTTTTTTAACTGTTGCTTAGTTTTTATTGTCTTTATATGTTTATAACTAATTACTTAATTCATACAATTATAATTTCAATTATTATTTATTTTATTTCAATTATTATTATAATTTCAATTTCATTTCAGTCAGAGACGGAGTATTGATATTTGTAATCAAGAAGCTAGCAAACTCGGTTTTGAAATTGTAAGGAGATATGTTATATGGAACGAAGATGATACCGCGTAAGTTTAATATTTAATATTGAATAATGACAGTATATAGAAGACTCACTCTTTATGTACATTTATTTATTATTGAAGTAACTTGCCGATATAAATGAATCAGTAAACATAGTGTACAATTAATATAATATCACATAATTTATATGAACACAATATTGTGCACCGTATATTAGAATATTATTTTGTTAAATTTAAAAAATCACATATGGAAGGATAATTTGGTCTTTTCGAACAAAATAATATCTCATATATTAAAAAGGTGAAAATAGTTTATATTAAAAAAAAATTGCTTTTCGACTTTAAATTACTTTTTTTCAGCATAATGGACAACTACGATGTAAAAATAAGGAAACAGATAAATATGAATTTTGTAGGACTGGGATGAATGGTAATTGTAATATGCATCATAATGATAACAAATAGAAATACGATGTAACAGAATTTATCTCATAACGTTACAAATAAAATGTAATTAAAATATTATGGTTTATTCTAATATACATTCATACACACATAAACATATACTCGTATATTCAGAAAATTAATTTAGGTCCCTGATGTTTTCCTCGAGAAATTTAATAACTTGTCTTAAAATTTCCGGATGCTTTCAATGTCTCCTAGGAATAAAGTCTTTTTGTCTGGTAACTTTTTATTACCCAATAAGATGTCGTCTATTCTATTTACTTAAATGTTGTATTTAAAATAAATAGACAACGATAATTAGATACATGATTCTTATTATAAATCAATTTATATTTATCTATGAAAAGAGGTTGTCTTTTTAATATTTTGTATAAAGAATAATAAGGTCTAATATTAATTCAGATCATATGTAAGCAATTACTTTAAAAGTTCTAGATAACTTGTATGTTTAAAGCCTCTTAAATAAGATTACAATTTATTGTGCCTATTTCCATAATAAACTAATTGCTATTTTACTTACACTGAGCTTCTTAAAACGAATTATGTAAAAAGGCAAATCAAATATAGGTAATCCTCACGAAATAGATCTCTATAGTGATCGAGAGATTTCCATCAACGACTGATTGAATCCCATATACAGGGTGACTGGTGAATTACTATCAATATTTAAGGAGCATACTCGGTACATGATTCTCATTCGAATTATGTAAAAAAAATAGGTACTTAATTTTTGACCAAATTTCCGTATAAATAAATAAAGTGTGTACACGTTCCAAGTGTTCCTAGTGTGGACGCGTGCGGCGGCGTGCTGATACAACACTACGCCGCCGCGCGCGTATGTGTGAGTGTGTAGTGTAGAGTAATCTGTAGGGTGTTCATACGATGCGTAATTAATTACACAACTTTTGGTTAACTTTACTTAGAAGTTTATTAATATTTATGTTATATTAATTTTTATTTCGTCATATATGATCGTCAAATATCACGTCCTCAAATATCGATAGTAATTTACCAGTCACCCTGTATAATCTGAAACGTGCGTCGTGAATAAGGTAACAAAGAAATGTAAAACAAGAACAAAGTTAAAATAGGCTTATTTTCTAATTACCTATTCTATTTAATATGTAAACAAATTGCAACTATTTAATTCGTGAAATTAATTATAAGTGTTAGATGCTTTGAAAAGACTTTAAATTGAATTTTCCAAATCTGGAATTAGTTAGACGTCACAGAAGATAGGCGTGAAGTAGCCTTTAATGGATGAGTTTTGTTCTATGAGTGAGAGAGTAGGTAGCCCTTTCCCCTTTTTTTACCTTTTCCTGACATTATTCCCTTATCCCCTTATTTCCTTATTCCCACCCTTTCTTATCCCTAAAAAAACAAAGTTGGCAACGCATTCACCGTGCGGACGACGGGTCCATGGCGTTGCAGGGAGAGGAGCTTCAACAGTGCCTCCAATTTGCGACCCAGGTGTAGTTTTAAGGGTCTCTTATGTAACGCGCGTTAAACGCTCACCTCTACCGTCCAAGCTCCTTTCTCTACCTAAACAACTTAAAACTAACCTGCTAGGGCTGCCTTCGACTCACGTTCCAAATATTAGTTCTGGACAGGCTCAAGTCTTTTAGTAGGTTGTTCAGAAATTTGGGTGTTATACCTCTCAATTCTACTTCTATAGCGTACAAATTTACGTGGAACCTATTCTTAGTGAGTTCATTCGTTAGTGATACTTCATATGTATGTATATACGGTTAGAATAAATTAATTTTAAATACACGTGCAGAAGTTTTCAATGTATGTAATAGGATTTGCATTGACTAATAAAATATGACACTGTAAATGATTTTAAACTTGAGATTTAGGACGGTTATTCATTCCAAAATAGATTTGTCACAGACTAAAACTAGCTCAATACAAAAGTCTTAGTTACCCTGTTTAATATTGATGTATTGCGTAACATGTTTTTTTAACTGTTGCCTAGTTTTTATTGTCTTTATATGTTTATAACTAATTACTTAATTCATACAAATTTCAATGTTATTTCAGTCAGAGACGGAGTATTGATATTTGTAATCAAGAAGCTAGCAAACTCGGTTTTAAAATTGTAAGGAGATATGTTATATGGAACGAAGATGATACCGCGTAAGTTGAATATTTAATATTGAATAATGACAGTATATAGAAGACTCACTTTTTATGTACATTTATTTATTATTGAAGTAACTTGCCGATATAAATGAATCAATAAACATAGTGTACAATTAATATAATATCACATACTTTATATGAACACAATATTGTGCAGTCAATGGTACCTACACACTCACTGAACTCTCCACTCTGCCGTCGTGTATCCAGACGTCATATTTATACCAAGATTTAATCATAGTTCTATTATCCTTTTAAAATTTTTTGATTTTGTTTTACTTTTAACAATGATCATGAATACTCATGAGTTTTAATAAGAATTGATGACAGCCTCAAATTATTTTCATGTCGCATCCGTTATTAAAGCTGATAGCGCGCATAAGTAATACAACCAATATTTTACAATTATCGCAATCTTAATTTCCCATTATAATTATTAATACAATTAATAGTTTAATGACAGTGATCTACGTTAAAATGTTAGAGATTTAGTGTTGAATTACGATAAATATTGATTTATTTTTTTTATTTGAATTAATTTTTTGATTTTTTTGGCACGTTGCAAACTAATTAATAAATTTATTATTTACTTGTTTATGTCCCAAAAAAATTTTCCAAAGAGAGTTCAAAGCAATTCGATTTAATATTATTATTTAAAATTATAAATGGCACTGTCCAATGTGAACAGGCTCTCCATAAAATTAATATCTCAGTCCCATGTCGCCCTCCTAGAAAACCTAACAGTAAATTGTTTTACATAGCGAAGTCACGCACAAATGTTGCTAAATATTCCCCGATAAATAGAATGTGTGGCCAGTATAACGATCTGTGTGCATTAACTCAAAATATTGATGTTTTGTCCGATTTCTTGCTGAAGTTTTAGTGAAAAATTTGTGATGTTTTGTCAAGTCCTGTTAGTAAAATTTTGCTGTAGTAGTTTATCTTGATTGTTATGTGATATTCTTTCTTCTTTTGTTATCTGATTTTTTTTATAATATTTTTGTAAGCAGCTAGACTAGTTTAATGTATGTATTGTTGATGTGCGATTCAAATAAATAAAAACATAAAAGCACAATGGAAAACTTATCTTATTATAGCTTTCTGCTAGAAGTCTTTTTGATACTAAAAACAAGTGGATAAATTAAACTGTATATATAGGAAAGTACGTATATATAAAAAATACATAAACATACAATTATTATTAATAACTTATTTGAGTTTCCGATATTAATCTACTAATTTATGTCACGTAACTTAAGAATACATTAAATGTAAGAAGTGTTCTCCATTACAATTCGGTTTCCTCTACTTGTTTAATTTTACTAGATATCAGTATTATCGGTGCATCAGTACCTGAATCTTTAATTTGTTTTTCCGAGAGAATAAAGTTTTATGTTAATTTAAGTTCTTAATATGAATTTTTCAAATTAAAATATTAATAGCTTTGACCAGTATTTTGGCAAAGTTGGAATATTCTTATCATGAAAAGATAAAAACTTTAATATGATTTTGCAGTTCAAGAACAGAATTACATAATTTATTAAAAATTTTCCCTAACGGACTGCTTATTGTAATATCTGACTTTACATGGAAGTACAGTGTATCGTATTTTCATTATTAACCTTAGAAGTTTACTCCTAAATTTTACTGTAAGTGTTCACAGATTAGTTTTAGCCAACAATCAATATTTGGTAAGTTATATTGTGCCGCAGAAATATCTAGATGAGAGACACAGCTCAGAGATGTATCTTGTCATATGTATTAAAGGTGAAATAGCTTATCAAGTTTAGATTATCTGTTGACACGCAGCAAACCAAAAAGTTAAACGTAAAGATTATGTTGACAAGAATACATAAGTATATCGTTGTTGTCTATAAACTAAATATTAAATGTTTCTAAATATACTTTTAATTACATAATATCTTTACTATACTACTAGTATGTAATTATTTTAATAAAATGTTTTGATTAAATTGTATCAACACATATTTTCAGCAAACTACATAGTACAGACGTCTGATTAAAATGTTCATTTAAGCGTTACTTTGGAGCTACAATCTGTAAGTTGGTTAGCCTCAGAGTAACAACAACATCGAAATGATATTTTTAATCAGTGAATAATCAATGAATAAAAACAATGGGAAAGTATTTTTTTTTAATAGATAAATAGTAAGAAGAAAAAATTACAATACACAATAAAAAAATTGTATAAAATATTTATTAAATTGCAAAAATATACAACTTAAAATGTCATAAACATTATTTTGAACAGGTCGTTACTTGATGCTGTATTATGATATCGGTTCATATATTGATTATTATTATTGACTTATTTTTGTATCATATCATATCATAGACTTTTTTACGTCATAATATAAAAAAAGGAAACTTGTAGAGTATCATATTTGTAACCAAGTCACGTGACAAACATAAGTTATTATTATTTACCACAAATTAACTTTGATTAAAAATTGCTTTACTAAGATCACTAATGCGATTTCAATTTTACAATGTACAGTTTCTTAATAACAGGTCAGATAAGTTGCGAAACGAGTTTAAAACTAATGGAGATACGAAATGAAGATATATAATACTCAATATTTGTACATATATAATATTCTATTCTTTCTATTCTTCTTCCGTTGTTTATGTATTTGATCTTTATCAGTAAAACATAAGTCTTTCTTTATTGAAATCTACTTATTTTTCGTCTAATTCAATAAATATAGAAAATATTATTTATAAACAAAACTTTTCAAGAATTGCGAAACACGAAGTTCAATTTAGCAAATACCCTTTCGTTCTCAAATAACATTAAAATCTAAGCGGAGCTCTTTTTTATTGAAGATACATATTGTAATAGCCTTATTGTAATAGCTGTTAAATAAAATCTGATAGCACTTAAGATCTCTGTTACGTCTAAACCTACTTGCTTTTAATCTTTTATTAAAGATAAAGGTCAATATTTGAGGATCATTTTAGGTAAATTATTTTACAACAATTGCTTTTGAACCTTATGTAGTTAAAAGTATTTGTAAAAAAGTAATCAAACCAGCAGTTATTATTAAAAATGTAATCAAATTGTAACATAAGATCTGGCAATCTTATGGAATGCAAACATTTTTCATCAAAGAGAACAAGGGAAAAGTTTAAATTTTACGAGTGATCTAATCAAAAATAAATATTAAGATAATAAAATAAAATACGTACCTAATTGTATTATAATCTTGAATACGTACGGTGGATCCATTGAATGCTTAAAAGTGGCTTCACATTATTTTATTTTATTTCCTAAATTGGTGCAAAATATAATATTGACTAAAGAGTTTTGTGATGTTCCTATCACAATACGTATATTGTCCAGCGTTAATAATCGAGGCGCTTTAAAATTGAACTATTCACGGAGAAAGGATTGAACGTCCTCTTATCTTAATAGGCTTTTGATCAAATCGATGAATGAAGACTGTTTGAGTGATATTATATTAGATTTTGCGTATATGTGTTCGTGTTCTTAAATATTTTTGTCCTAGTATTTTCTATAAATATGTATGTTTAATATGAAGAAACATTTCGTAGAATAAACACATAAATTTTTCAAACATTGAGGTAATTCTTTATTGATAATGTAATACTTATACTTAATAAAAAATATTTAACAATCACCATAATGATATGTAAGATATTGGATATTCATTTCAATTAATGTATCGGTTCCTTTCCAGCAACCGTGATCACAGGCCGACGAGATGAAAATATGACGAATCGAAAAGTCAGGAACATGTACAAATCAAATAATAAAAAATGCGTAGTATACGAAAAATTTAGTATATAATACCAGACTTCGGACAAAATATTGTTGTTTATGAATAAAGAAGAAGAAGATCGGTTGGTTAGACTATATTTTTGTTATTTTTCATATTTTGTATGTTTAGTTTCATTTTAAAATGTCGTAAATACTTTAAGTATAAGTTTGTTGTAAACAGTTCTATAATAAAATGTTTGTCCGTTTAATTTTGTTAAAAATCAAACTTATAAAAATTAATATATAACTATTGTTTTAATTATTATCACCAATTAAATGGTCTATTAATTACATATATACATTTCTGTGAAGTAAAAAAAAACCTATTAATTCGATTGACAGTTTCCCATAACTGTCCACAGCAGTCTAGTTCAGATAAGGTTAAAGACTAAGAAGTTCAGATCAAAGACTTTGTATCGATATGAAAGTTATATTGAAAAATTCAAACGAAAACAATTGACAAATGTAACAAATTTCAAAAACCTTTTTTATTAATGTTACCCGGATTATTTTTTATGTTGTACAAATTAAGAAACAGTGTTTTCTAGGAGATAAGATTTTCTTATATAACTAAAAGTCTTAATAACATACATACATACAGTAAAAAGGACAGTTTGCTCAAAGAAACTATGCCATAATTAAAACTTTATATTAAAACCATTTTTTCATCCCTTGATTTTTATATCCCTTGAATTGAAAGATATTTATCTACTTTTTTATGTCACCGCTCCTTTAAATTATGAATTAGGATTTTGTGTCTACTAAGAATCGAGGGTCCACTTACACCTTTGCCAAGATTTTATACTCTTCTGTCTTGTACTTTTAGTAAGAAACACATGATTTCTTATTTTTCACTTGAAATCATTATACCCAAATATATTTCAATACATTAACTACATAATAGAAGAATATAAATAAGTCACAATTGACTGACACGGGTCTTTTACTAAAACTAATTTATAATTTCGATCCCATATCATGTCTAAGTCTAAACTCTTTGTTAATAGTTTAGGATTAAACTGAGAATTAAATTAAGATCGTTGAGAGTTGACAGAAGTGATGTGATAACATTTCAACTTGTCATATCCACTATCTAACATATCAAAGATATTTATAATAATATTAATTACTTATTTACTCAATAAAGTATTCGTTAATCCATCTTCAGATATAATACTGAGTAAAACTTAGCGACA